TATTAAAAAAAAATATTGCAAAGAAAATGTCTCAATAATCATTAATTGTCAATTTCGTCATTAAATACTACACCAAATACAAAATAAGTAGACCATTAAATTTCTTGTCAAAAACTAGTTATCATGAAGTTATCTTAAAATTTGCAAGTTCAACCGTTTGGTTTCTTATAGCGAACAAATAAACAAACTTCCTCTTTTATATACATAGATAAGTATCACTAACTAGAAAAGGCTTATTCCCTTTGTCACTCTGTCGAGACCGCTTTCGCTAATTTTTTTTTATTTTAGGGGGGTAATGCTCAACAATATATATCGTCGCTTAGCAACAAAACTATCACCTGATTGTTTTTAGGCCAACTATGGTATTTATGTTAAATGCTTAATACTAATGTCGATTTGTTAGAAAGTGTCATTGTTTTTATAACTTCGGTAATATAACAACAAAATAGATTAATTCGGAAGTTTTATGAAATTGAGTTGTAGCCAAAAGCAAAATATGATTTACCAAGTAGTGCTTCAGCTAAGCCTTACGTTACGTTCATGTATTAGGCTTAATGCATAAAATCAAACTAGAAATAAGTCTACTATGTACTAACGTTATAGAATCAGTGTTTAAAAAGTTTTAAGTGGTGAATGAATGTAATTAATTGGTTTGTTTTGAATTTCGCGCAAAGCTACACGAGGGCTATCTGCGCTAGCCGTCACTAAGTTAACAGTGTAAGACTAGAGGGAAGGCAACTAGTCATCACCACCCACCGCCAACTCTTGGACTACTCTTTTTACCAACGAATAATGGGATTGACCATCACATTATAACGCCCCCACGGCTGAAATGTGCTTGTTTGGTGTGACGGGGATTCGAACCTGCGATCCTCAGATTGCGAGTTGAGCGCCCTAACCATCTGGTCATGCAATTAATAAATATTCCTTTGGTATTTTAACACATATATTACTTACTTGGCCTTAAAACATAAAGCAAAATAAACGTTTATTACTACCAAATATCTTTTCTTTTTTGTGCAGTTGAAAGAGTTGAAAATTTGTGTCGAAATGTCCGCATTTATGTTTTCTATTTCCTGACCTAGAATACAATGAAAAGGCTCAAGAGTGCTACTTAAGTCTTTCTCAGGATGCACACGTACTTTTTAAAATTCAAAATTGAAATTATTGTAATTATACGAATTTTGAACAAGAGCGCATTTTGATATCTTCTGAAATAACTTCAATTCTAATTCTTAGTGGTATAAATCACCTTTCAATCAAAATCTCAAAAGAGACGAATGTAGGCCTTATGTAGTTTCCAAAAAATAATTTGAAAACGTAAATTAATTAACTTATCATGGTGGTATGTCAGAAAGTTTGATTACTTAATAAGTTATGGCACTAAATGATTTAGCTGGATTAATAATGTAATCCTAATGGTAAAAAAGCACTTGTTTTATTTAATTGTAAATATTGGAAGTAGATGTTAATTAATTATTATGGTAGATGGCACATCAAAACTGTTATAGGTATAATAATTGTATTAAAACTTATCTCCATTAACTTAAATCTGTTGTTTGTTTGTAATTAAGCACAAAGCTGCACAATAGGTTATCTGTACTCTGTCCATCACGGGTATCGAAACCCAGATTCTAGCGTTGTAAGTCCGCAGACATACCGCTTTGCCACTGGGGGGCAATTTAATTCTGAATAACAAGAAAGCATCCCAGATTGTTTAGTTAATTAGAGATGGCGTGGTGTTAGACCATCAATTAATATTATGATGATGATTGTTTATATTTCTGCAGATTTGAGAAATCTTGACTACTATAATTATATGTGTATATAGTTATGGGTAAAATAGCGACAGGGAAATTATTTATTTGTAATTAAATTGGTAGTGGAAGTTTGATTATTATATCTTGAATCGTGAAAATGTAATTTATTTTTATGTGCTATATTTCGATTTTAACTATATTAATAATGATAATTTAATTACTACACTATAATTACAGTAATGAGCGAACTAATTTATCTAAAAAGGTTAATTATTAGATCTTTAATCATAGGAGTGATTGTGTATTTTATTTTAACGATATAAATTATGATAGCCTAATTATTACACTTTAATTATGGTAATAAGCGAACAAATTGATCTCTATAGATTTACAAATGATCTATTTTAATTATTGCTGCTCTAATTATTGTAATAAGTGAAACAAGCTTCTTAGTACCGTTATAACTCATGATGATAAGCGGCACAAATGAATTTCCGCAGTTCAATCCATGGTGATTAGTTACACAATCTAATTATTATTCATTATGGTTTGTGATATGAAGGTTCAGGAATAGCCATTCTTAATCTTCAACTGCTGACAAGAGGGAAAGAACGAGTTAGCAGCACCCACCTCCTACACGGTGACTGTTATAAAGACCCCACAACTGAAAGTGTTGAGCGTGTTCAGCTCTATTCGGGACTCGAATGTTGAACCTTCTGATCCATAGGTCACACTCGCTCGGATCCAATAATTTATTGCTTATCATTACAAGATTATTAAGATAAAACGTAACACACACAATAAATAAGTGATATTTGTAATAACTTTTTCCAACAACATTACATACTCTTACAGACAAGAAGGGCCATGCATGGATTGGTGGATAGGGCGCTCGACTCGCAATTTGCGGGTCGCGAGTTCGAGGCCGTGTCACCAAACATGCTCGCCCTTTCAGCTGTGGGAACGTTATAATGTTGGTGTTGACCAACTGCCGTCCTTCTAATCTTTCACTGCTAAAAATAAGGATGGCTACCTGAAGAGAAGATGGGCACCACCAGGTAAATCATCAGCATCTAAAGTGTCCTAACGGTCCTCAGCAGCCTCGGGTTTAATATATATATAGACAAGTAGATAAATAAATACTGTATGTGAAGAAAAAAATTATTGATCTAATATAATCTTTCTCTTATTTAATTTGTTCACACTACGATGTTTAAAGAGAATATTTGTAAATTTTCTGTCAAGGTTCAGGAGTGAAGAACTGAAAAACAATACAGTGTGTACCTCAAAACAGCCAAAACATATTTGCTCTTTGCACCTGTATTTCGGAAGATAACAATAACTACACTAAGTAGAGAAAGCTAACATTGAGACTAGTTGTAACTCGTAAGTAAACCATTGTTGTATAATTCGTTGCTTGTGTAGAATATATTATATCTTTAGTAACTGTAATTAAATATTGTAAATTTTGAAACTTGAATTTTGTTTAATTTTGGATGTGTTTATTGCTACGACGTCTTTCTTTTTAAACCAACAATAAATGAATACAAAAAAAAAGATAAGGCTTTTTGTCCTTAAGCACAAAACTACATAATGGGCTATTTGTGCTGATAAGGGGACTGGGGTTTAAACAAAAAATAAAAATATAAATACATACATATTTGATGCTAGTTGACTAAAAGATAAAGGAAGAGCTATGGAATGTGGGATAGGATGGGTAAATTGCCTAGGACTCTTACTATGTCATTGAGATCATTCCTAGTATAACGGCTATGATCACAAAAATATTCAACAAGAGTACGTAGTTGTGTAACAAATGCATACCTGCATTACTCTCGAACAATGCAGAACAAGTTTTCACTTACCCAGCTAGCATTTCGTATATTAGTATTCCAAGAGCCCACCAGTCGACTGCTTTGTTGTGACCTTTATTCATAATGGTTTCCGGAGCTAAGTATTCGGGTGTTCCACATAAGGTCCATGTTCTATTACAGTTGACCACAAATCAAGTGAATTTAGTAATCATCTTGAAGGAAATTCATACAATAACCAAGAACGAAAAGAAATGACGAGTTAAATATAACTTATGTGTAAAAATAACCCTGAGTCATTAGGATCTACTAGTAATATCAACTCGAGAGGAAACAAAGTTGACAAAATATGACGTATGTGTAGTATAAATCCTAAATAAAATATATATTAAATCCATGTATAGTTATATATATATATAACCTGGAATAAGTTCTGGGGTTTAACTTTAGTCTTAAATATCGTCTAACCAAATGAAAAGTTAGGAGAATTGTTTATTACTTGTGAACCTTGATATTTCAGACGGTTTTAATAAATCAAGTTATGAAATATTAATAAAAAAATGATAGTATCGTGAAATCAAGTACGAATGTATGTTTGTTTGCTGTTAAAAACAAAGCAACACAAGTGGCTATCTGTGATGTGCCCAACATGAGTATCGAAACTCAGTTTTTTTAGCGTTATAAGCCTTCAGAGTTTCCGCTGAGCCATTGCGGGGGGCATACCAATGAACATCTAAGTTTGACGTTATTTTACTTTATACTTTATACTTAAATTTAATCATACATATCTGACAGCTCAAGGTTCTTATAAATATGAAACAAAAAGTAACGCCATTGGGGTTGAAAATGAAATAAACTGTGTAGTTTCTCCCAATAATATATTCATATAAACTGTCTAGTTTCATGACAATTGTTCCAAATGCCCTTTAACAGTCTTTGTTATATGATTATCATTGTATCTAATAAAACATACAATAAGTAAATTAAGCCCGACATGGCCAGGTGGTTAGAGCGCTCGACTCGCAATCTGCGGGTCGTGGGTGCGAATCCCCATCACACCAAACATGCTCGCCCTTTCAGCCGTGGGAGCGTTATAATGTGACAGTCAATCCACTATTCGTTGGTAAAAAAATAGCCCAAGAGTTGGCGGTGGGTGGTGATGACTAGCTGCCTTCCCTCTTGTCTTTCACTGCTAAATTAAGGACGGCTATCACAGATAGCCCTCGTGTAGCTTTGCGTGAAATTCATAACAAACAATAAGTAAATTACTTTTTCGATAGCTATTCTAACACTTTAAAATATTTTTATAATCTATTAATGAGTCCATTAAAAAAATGCCAACATTGCACATTAAATTAACCGTGGCTTTTAAACTTTTATGTAATTCATAAATAATACATGAGATCCACTTTACAGAATATGTTTACGTATTTTTTACCTGTCTGTTAATTTCTTAGCGAAACCAAAGTCTGTGATCTTGAGATGACCATCTCTATCCAACAGCAGATTCTCGGGTTTCAAGTCTCTGTATACGATTTGATGCTTGTGAAGATATTCCAGGGCTAGAACTATTTCTGCTGCGTAAAAAGTTCCTATCGTGCCATTGAATCTACCAGCGTTTCGCAGGTAAGTGAACAACTCTCCACCACAGACATACTCAAAGAGCATGTAGAGGGAGCTGTCGTCATGTGTTGACCAAATCCTTGAACATAGAAAAAATTTCCTTTAACAAAAGCCTCCTGGTGGCTCGGTGGACTGTTTGAGGGCTAATAACGTTAAAACTCGGGTTTCGATTACTAAGGTGAGCAGAACACAAATGGGTCGTTGTATTTAACTAACAAAAATATTAAAAGATTGAATTTAAAACTTCTATTTTTGAAAACAGTCTTCTTATGACTGTGTGCTTATTATAACTCAACTACCAGATTATTAAAAATCACATAACAAAAATAAAAACACAGGGAAAATTACAAAATACAAATTCTCCTGAATGTTGAGTAGTGTTATTTCAAATAAAATAAATGAATACTATTAAAAGTAAGTAATATTGTGTTAAAAAAATCATTTGAAGTTAATAAAAATCCTAAAACTAATTCTGTGTAATGAGTTAAATATAATTGACAAAAATAACTGTTCACCATCTTAATCTAATTCATACCCAAACAATTGTTGTTTATGTAATTAATGATATAAGTAGCGTCTCAAACTTTAATATTTTCGTCTCTTAAACCAACACACGTATCTTTTGGAAACTTATGTTTCAAAGAATTTCAATAAAACCATATTACACGTATTATATTTTATTATATTTAAAGACAACGTAAAATACATTAGATATAACTTACATATCAATAATAAAAGGATGTGTAACTTGATGAAGAATAGTCTTCTCGTTCTTCACATGCTCCACCTGTTTTAAGCGAATGACATCAGCTTTCTCTAGAATTTTCATGGCATAGTAGCCGCCAGTAACTTTATCTCGACACAAGCATACTCTTCCAAACGTTCCTGTGCCTAAGATCAAGTATTGAATAAACATGTTTTGTTAAGCGAACGCTAGTAAACTATGTTAAATAATTTCATGCTGTGTTGAGTGTCTCATGGCATAAAGTTCACTAAGTTTGAATCACCCCTAACTTATTAAATGTTTTATTTAATTAGGTTCCTTTTTTTCGAATCTGTATTTATTCCAAAACTCATCATTAACTTTGATTTGATTTTTCAAAACTAAGTAGACATGTAACTCGTTAGTAATGTCGTTATCTAAATTAAATATGACGCTGATTTAACCTTCTGAAGTGTTTATATAACATGAAAAAACGTTTCGCACTTGAAGATACTTATATATTCAAAACACGGTGTTCCCCATAAACTACAGATAAATAAGATGGGTCAAACTCCTTGTGTTGATATCGATTTTCATATATAGCTCAAGACATTTGAAGTTTTAACTTTTATCTGAACACTAATGGACTAATAATAGCAATGAAAATCATTAAATAATTGTTTATTTAGGGACCGTTTGCTCCACGATCAGTTTACTGTTTCTAACTTAGCCAGTAAATTGTTATTCGTGTACTCTTTCTTCTCCTTACTATTGTTTCTATCTTATCCAGTAAATTATTATTCGTTTACTATTTCTTCTCCTTACTACTGTTTCTATCTTATCCAGTAAATTCTTATTCGTGTACTATTTCTTCTCCTTACTACTGTTTTTACCTTATCCACTAAATTGTTATTCGTGTACTCTTTCTTCTCCTTACTACTGTTTCTATCTTATCCAGGAAATTATTATTCGTTTACTCTTTCTTCTCCTTACTACTGTTTTTACCTTATCCAGTAAATTCCTATTTGTGTACTCTTTCTTCTCCTTACTACTGTTTCTATCTTATCCAGTAAATTATTATTCGTTTACTCTTTCTTCTCCTTACTACTGTTTCTAAATTATCCAAGTAATACTTATTTCTGATAGAGGAACTTCTACTTTTACATCTTTTTACTGTGTTTTAAATTATACAACAAACCATTAGTTGTAATAGAAAACTCTTTATTTATTCCATGTCTTTACTGTTGTTTCTAGATTATCAAGAAAAAAAACCATTAATTATGATATAAGATTTTTTATTATAGATCTCTGTATTGTTATTTTTAAGTTATCATTTTCTTTTCAAAAGATGATTAAAACAATGTTTTCTAAATATACATCGTAAAGTACAAAGGGAAGCATGCTGAGCCTCAAATGTACTCTGTGCCACTACCAATGTATAAGTAATTAATTAGATTCCGAAATGCCTTAAGATAGTGGTTTTTACTTCTCTTTCTTATCGAATGACGCTTTAAATATAAAAAAACTAATTATGCTTTTACCCGGTATACCAGGGTTTGTTCTCTTAACTTTAGTATACAAAAAGCGTCATTTGAAGAAGGATATCTTTAGAAAAAAAGATCGTTAGAAGAAAGAGTATCAAATCATTCTAAAAGAATAAAATTAGTGTTTTATTATAAATATGGGCTTTTATTATGATAACGAAATCTTCTAAATTCTAATGAAAGCCAATAACTATGAATAATAGAAAAGTGGTATTAAAATGATGTAATAAATTTTAATATGATTAAAAAAAATGCAGTAAGTTTATATGTGTGAAAATAATTGTACGTGTTCGTGTGTTTTTTCAGTTAAAAATCATAATATTGGTAGAGTTTTTGAAGAAATTTTGAAATAATCTTTCCAAAATAGCTGATAGAATTTTTCTTTTTATAACATAATTTTAGAGCATCATAACACATTTTGTGATAAAATAATATACATCTTTTTTTTTGTACAATAAAATTGTTTCACTTTGCAAAAACATGTAATCTAGAATGCAGAGCATTTAATTTTCCTATATTTTGGTATTTAAAACATAAATTACTCATATTTAAGCAGACGGAACTTTACGAAATGTAGAACCCATAGATTCCAACAAAAACTGTACATATTTATGCAGCAATTATGCTGTATTATAAAACCGTAAAACAGGTGTAAGCTTAACCTGTTGGGATCTTCTTTCTTAGCAAACTATTTGATTTCTGTGTGCATGTTCAACAAATTTTGTATTCAAACTTGTTTTCATTACCTACACAACGTAGTGTACACTTTCTATCTTGGTTTGCTGGCATGACACTGCAGAACCACAGAAAGTTGTCTATTGTTGTTGTAGGCTATGTTCTCAGTTCACAAGTTTGTATTGTTGTTTGACCAAAGGAGAATTTTGTGTAATTTGATTAGCCTGACTTAGTGTCTAGAATCTTCATTAAAGTTTAGGCAATGATGTGGACACTGTAAGACGCAAGTTAGGCTACAGTAGTTGATATTTGATTTCTGAGTTTATTAGTAAGTTTATATTGAGTCTGAAGTAATAATATAGCTTTTGATCAGGTTTGTCAGGTTGGTGTTTTGTTTAGTGTTGCGATTAATAACTATATACTTCGAGAAATTAATAATAGATACACCGTAAGTTTTATAGTACAAGAGAACTCACAATAAAGTAAAATCGTTGTATTATCGTCTAATGTAAACTTAGGTTTATCAGTGAATACTAATAAAAGAACATAAATAACTTGTTGTCATTATTTTTAAGCAGACTAGACTTTACAGTCTATTTTTTATCCAAATAATTCAAAAGAACCCATTCAATAATGGAACAATAGAAACCGTTACAACAATGCATAAAATATTATAAGTACCTTTATAAAAATATCGTCTGATAAAAAAGTAAATACGTTTAAAAATCTCTTTTTAGAAAGAAAAACAGCATTACTTTTAAATGGCTTTACGTAGCTTTATTAAGTGGAAAGTTTTGAATACTATCGTACAACAATTCAAACTGTCACATGTTAAAATATCAGTAATGATGTTACGTCGTTAGATAATACTGTAATAGAAATCAAGTTGTTATAAATTATTTAGTACCGTGTATGAAACTTCAATATTGTTATTAGGTGTAACATTTTACAATATAAGCTTCTTAAAACACATTTGGGATTAATTAATTCGAAATGTGTGAAAAATGTTAAAGCACATATATTCAAAACGAATAATAATTTCTCATTATTTTCTAAAATAAGCAATTTTATTCATAGATAACCAATAAAAATATGTTTATATTAACATATTAGCCAATGCTTTTAATAAATTTTGTAAATTGCAAAACTATAGTTTAAAATGAAAAAATTGTGTTAAAACAACACAATCATTTTGATCTAATAAAAACACATAAATGTGTTGGTAGATGCACAATTTATGTACGCAAATTTATACAAACTAACTTCACAACACAATAATGTATCCAAATAAAAACGATTTTTGAACTGAAACACGCCTTTTGTGTTTTCAAAAAACACACAAAACTCGAGTGTTTGTAAGGCTATAACAATCAGAATATTTGTTGACAATGACACAACAAGATCAGCGTATCAAACTAAACGTAAATACTGTGATCATTCTTACATTCTTACCGATAACTTTGAACGAGATTGAAAGAACATTTTGAAGCTCCTTATCATTTATTTAGACACATGATTGAATATAACCATTCGTTTCACGTTTCAGATATTCCAATCACTGACAAAGAAAACAATATAATTATCTGAAAAAAAATATAAAGCTCTCTTTATCAAAAAACAAAAACTCAGCACTAATGGATATATAGTGCGAACGCCTATTCTAAGTTAGTTAAGCATTATTATCATTAGTTATAGTTGTTATAAGACATTATCGTTAGACATATTATATGTTTAATATTACATTCTTTATTCTGTCCCTTAGGATTTCATATCTTTTGTCAACGATACGTTTCGCTCAGTACAAAACTCATTAGGCTGACTGGGATACAACAAAGATAGTAATGAACAAACTGGTTATTTATGTCTTTCATGAAATATCTAAAGCAATTTAGATTATTAGCACCGAGTAAAGAATTATATGTCAAAACTAAACACAGTAGCAGTCGGAACACTAATTATTACTGTATTATACTAACAATTGTTATGATATGAACGTCTTTTCTAAGCTGATGAAACAGCAGTCTTATTGGGGAAAAAACAACTTAGGGGACAGACTAAATAATGTAGTGTTAAAAATATATCAGGCAGAACACTAATGTCTTAAGAGAAGTATAACTAATCGTATTTATTATTACACTATTTTTATGGTGTGAACGCCATTTTCAACTGGAGAAGTATGATTATAATTAATTTACTTGTCATTAGAAATTAGTATTAGGCCTATTATATTTATTAACACTACATTATTTATCAAGTCCCATGGGGTTTTCAAGAATTAGAAGAGTTTATAATAATAGCATTTCAACCACAGTATGGACGCCGTATCTCAGTTCTAATTGTTGTTGTAACAAATGGCTTATATAAATGGTGTTCCGATCAGTACTATGTTGCGTTTCAGCCAGCCCGATGAGCCCTTGTATTGGGCGAAAGGCCTCGTCGCCATTATACACGACAAATATTGTGTGGTGAACTTATTATTAAATTCTTCTGTACTTTCGCTCATAGTTCTTATAATTATTGAAGTAGACTTCTCCTAATGACGCTGAAGTGACTTGACTTGTAAAATAACTGAATAGTTTGATGTTAATAAAAAATCGTAAAACTAATTCTGATATGCAATGACTTAATTAAAATTTCGAAAAATTACAGTTCCCTAGATTAATTTAATTTACAACGAAACACTTATTGTTCAAGCAATTGATGATATAGATAGTAGCGTATCCCAAGCCGCCTGTTGAGCCCTGCTATTGGGGGAAAGCCCTTGCCTGAACTGGATAAAGGAGATATACTGTGATTGAAAAATTATTACATTCTTTTTGACTTTCACTAGTAAGTTCCTATAATGTATAACAATTAGAAATAACCTACAGTGTTTCCCTGTATCTAACAAACATCTTTCAGTATTTAATAAACATCTTTCAGTGTTTCCCTATATATATAACAAGCATTCGTTAGTGTTTCTATATATC